ACTCACACGATTCGTACTTGCCTACTAAAACACGGGACAAAAAATTTAAGCACTCCAACAAAACCTCAAAGCCCGGGGGATGGGGGGACTCCGCATATGAAAGGGGTGGGGATGCTTGTCGTCTCGCTTAGGGGTGTAAATTTCTGATTTTCGTCTCATTCAGGGTGTTGTGAGCAAAACGCCATCATATTTAGCCATGAAGGTCTCGTTTAGGGTTGCACGGGAATATAAAAATGTATATTTGATATGTATATTTTTTTGGTCTCTTTTAGGGGTCGAAAAAAGCTTAGGCCACGCCCAAATCGGTCTCCTTTAGCGGTTTAATTCAAAATTTCCGACGAGCATCCCCACCCCTTTCATATGCGGAGTCCTCCCCGCCCCCGGCCTCAAAGGTGAAAAAATCATTCAATAATCTTAATGGTGTTTTCATAGGTTCTTGTCGCTATGTCTATAAAAAAAAAACTATTAAAATCCTATTTACAATTAATTCGCTTAAAAAAAAAGAAAAAACTATTCATTCAAAAACACTATTTACAATTTCTGTCGATTTAAAAAGCACTTAATTTAGCTTAAAAAAAAAGTTAATTAAAACTAAGAAAAATTTTTTTCGAATTAAAAAACATTTCATTTCAATAAAAAAAAAAATATCAACCTCTAAGATTCAAAATCGCTATGTCTATTCAAGTAAATCGTTCCTGTTCTCATTATATAACATCAATGGCTATGCTCCTGTTAAACTGAACATCAAGTCAAGTCATTACAGCAACGCTATATACAGATGTTTTGACAGAGGACCAGCGTTTGGTAATGGACACGACTTGCGGTTAACGCACGAAGCTGAAGGTTACCGCAATTCCTACACCTACTGTGGCAGTTCATTTCCCCTTCCCCCTGGGTACTCTGCATCTGGTTATTCCTGTAAATTTTATGCTGGATCCTACAAGTTTACTCCCAGCAATGTTGAAGTATTTTACGAGACAACAACTTGATCTGTTTCCGTGGAATCATTTTGGGGGCAAAATTAGACTAACAGCAACGAATGAAGAATAAAATTGAGTGAAATCACTGCTTACCAGTATTACAACCATAGGCCCTCAGTAACATCCGATAAGATTACAATAAGCTATTAATCGAATATTAATGTTATAATTAATATTATTAAATGATATTGATATTATGCATTTCCATTATTGTTCTGCTCCTCAGTTGGGCGTTATTAGTTTGCCAGTTAGCGTTCACACGGCATCGGGCGAATTTACGACCGGTTTAAAATTCGTGCTTTAGGTGTTTCATTCACACTTAACCACGCAAACCATACGAAAACTTATTAGACGCTTAGCCGTTCGAAAATTTGAACGCCAGAATCGAGCTTACTTTTAACCGGTACGGTCGAAAATTTGACCGGCGAGGCGTGCGGCCTCGTTGCATGATTGCTGGCAGACAACATTATAGATACACAGATTTGTAAAACCACTAACAAAAGTGACACCTTAACCTGGCTTGTCAGTCCCGTGTAAACGATCGAAAATATTGAGCGGTTCCAAATAAACGAACTGTCCAGTAAAATTTTTTAGCAAGAAGAAAATTCGTCTGGTGTCGTGTGAACGTAGACTGCAAAACAGTCGGTTTTTTTCCTTCAAAATCGCCGGTTTAGCGTAGCGTAATAAGAGTCTCACTCGCGAAGCGAGCAAGCCTCACACGCCTGCAGGGCGTCTCTCCCCATCTCGCTTTTCGTTTTCAGCCTCGCTCCAGACCTTTTGTTTGAATGCCTACTTGAATACGCAAAAATACGAACTGTTTTGCAGTCTAGTGTAAACGAAGCTTTACAGATTGCATAGTAGTTTTCTGTGATGTTACTCAGATTGTTTATAAAAGTTGCGGGCTGATCTTCTCATTTTTCAAATCAGAGCAGACATGCCATCATGCACAACTTGTATGAAAAATGATGTTAGGCAAACTTTTCCTTTAATGGCAACTGACTTTCGGCGCAAACAATCTCTTTGTATCCAAAAACCCCAAGCAAGCAAGCAATTGGTTTTATTGTCAAGAAAGTTCTCTTGATTAAGCAAGTTGACTCCGGTATATGTGTTAATTGAATCAGCTCCAGACACTAGCTGCGATCATTTGACTTTTGCTCCTGGCGTCTTATTCATCAGTGTTCTTTCCTACTAGTAGATACTGTATCAAGCCGGACTTTGGAAAGGAACCTTGCGAATTTCACAACCATTTTAGTGAAACTAGGCCAAAAGGCAGGTACACTTACGAAGGCAAAGGAAAGGAAAACTAGCACTGAAGAGCGAGGATTTGCATTGAAAGAAAGAAGGAGATGAGAGCATTACTTTTTTCGCTGCACTCTTAGTTGTAATAATTACAGTTAGCGGCTTACCGAAAGGGTCTATTTGGCGGTAACATTTTCAGAAATCCACCTATATACATAAATGAAATGTGATCTGCATTTCTTGTTGATTGATTGTGCACAAAAATCAGTAGCCTCTGTAGCAAGCGTCGAAAGGGTCGTCTCCCTGCCCTTTTTGCACCTTCACACAGGCTACAAATAGGTACAAACGCACAATCTCTACCATAAAAGAGTTTAACTTGAGAAACCTCCTTATTTAGACCTCAGGTGATTTCTTTTATTTTTTCTTTAACTTTTTAAGTTATAATATAAAAAGAAACTGTAAAATTAAAAAAAAAACGGAAATGTGAGAAAAAAATGTATTGTATGCAAATATGGTATTGCACATTCGTTTAAGTTTCTCGGATCCATTGCATTTGTTCACTTCTCTTTAAGTACTTAAACATACCTAAAGTTATCTTTTCGATAACTTTAGGTATGTTTTATGAGCTATGGACATGCTTCATAACATAAGGCATGTTTTGTGAGCTCTGGACATGCTTCATGACTTTAGGCATGTTTTATGAGCTGTGGATATGCTTCCTTTACCGTGGCGTCAAAGGCATTGAACTATTATCCAACTGACCGTTTAATAGAGATGAAATATAACTAGCCATACAGGGTGACAGCGTCTATGCAATAGAGGTGACCGCTAAATAGAGGTCAAATGACAGATTATTTAAGAAAGGGAATTTAAAAAGTGACCCCTTAACGGTTGGCCGCTTAAAAAGAAGAGACCGGCTTAATTAACGTTTGACTGCACCTGTTAGAACGACCACGCGTTACGACGAACAGCTATTCACGGCCTAATCGTGCTCGTAGGTAAGAGGTTCCATTCAACTAGTAGCCCCTGCTTGTAAAAAAAATAATAAAGATAGTCGTCTTTATTGTGGTTTGAGTACCACGACATTTGCATGTGCGTGACCTCGTTGTTAAGAAATACAACAACACCCAATTCTTTTTGCTCTAATAGACCGCGAAGCTAAGAGAATTAAGATGGCCACAAACACTTTGCTTGGTTTTCTTTTTTAAGTTTTGCAATAGTGTCGGCAGCCCCCTCGGAAAGAGAGAAAGTTTTACTCCTGGGAGCCGGGGCTGCAGGAATCACTGCGCTAAAACACTTCATGATAAGGGAATTACCGACTTTCTTGTACTGGAGGGGCAAGACTATATCGGCGGAAGAATGAAAGTGGTTCCATTTGCAGGAATAAAAGTGGAACTAGGAGCAAACTGAATTTATTACTTTGACGAGGAAGAAAACCCACTGGTACCATTGAGGGACAAGCATAACTTAACGGGACATTTGTCCAACTACAGCAATGTTCGTGCGAGGTAACAACAATTTTGATGTAATTGTAGCATCCTTAGTGGCGTTATTTTTTTATTATTGTTTTTTTAATCACAGGGACTTGCTGGTCGCAAGTGATAACGGATAATTAGGTTTTTCGAGGCCTTACAAAGTCAAATATAAACTACTAACAAGTTTGCCCGGATGGGTGATTTTTTATAAGGTCTCCTTAAAGTTTGGCCTTACGTTTTCATGTCAAATGTACCAAGACCAATACAACTGTTTCACGCATCACGTCTTCAATATTACGAGCGCGTTTAGATGGCGTTAGTTATTCCACAAAGTTACGAAAATTGCATTCTGACAACTGGTATAACTCAATTTTTTCCATTAGTTTTATTCGACAAATACAATTCATTTTAAAAGAAGTTTAAAAATAAGACTCTTATTCTTGAAGTCATCAGTTCATTTGGTGTTTGCTTTCTTATTTAAATTGGTCAATCCCACTGAGGCTTAGCAGGGAGCAAACAGCCACCTAACTGGCGTCATATATGACGTACCCGTGCAATAGGTCTATTTGCAAAAGTCATTAGGGAAAAAAGTTACAGTGAATTTTGGTTTCAGTCAACACTTGAATAAACAACTCTGTTTGAGTCTGGTAATAAGGGCCCATTCCAACGGGAAAAACTATGTGAAACTGGAAAATTCAGATAACTAGTCCGACAAAAATCGTCTTCTCGAGCCTGTTGCACGCTGTGTCAATAAAGGTTGGTTAAACAACCCAGCAGTACATTTACATAGTGTATCGTGACAACGATTTATCGTCGTCATCATCATCATCTTCATGGTTGTTGAAGTTGATAATCCAATAAAAGGTAATGAGCAGTAATATTTTTGTACAGAGAACCAATAAGTGAACGTGATAAACAAAACGAAAAATTGGGGAACAAAAGAAAGCTTGAGAAAGTTCGGAACAGGGAACTTCGTGACCAGGAAATTCGTGACGAGGGAGTATGGCCCATCAGTGTTCTCAATTAAGAACGTTTTCAGTGCTTTATTATTCTCCCTCTCAGAAACGATTCCGGAGTTGATGTTACAGACACAAAACTGTATAAAGAGTGGCACAAGGCCAAAGACGAAATGTTCAAGATGGGGGAAGAGAGAGGCGAAAAAGATGTCGGGCCAAGGGATATGCCCCCCTCCACTGCTCTTAAGATACTCGGCTGGAGGTCTAAAACTCCCCTCAAGAAAGTGCTTTCTTGGTTTGACATCGATTTTGAATATGGTGAAAATCAACAAAAGGTGTAATTGAACAACATGGCCTCTGCTGGAAAGGACCTGTTGATAACCGACCCAAGAGGAATCTGGACCCTCTTTAGAGATTTCTATTCCAGTTTTACGGACAAAATATTACTGAACAAAACAATATTCACGATCAAGTACGATAGCAATGGTGTGGAGGTCGCCACCACCGAAGGTGAAGTCTTTACTGCAGACTACGCTTTGTGTACATTTGGTAGTGGTGTTTTAGACCGTGGCTCAGTAAAATTCGACCCACCCTTGCCTGGATGGAAGAAAGAAGCCATTTATCGCCTCAGGCCTGTTTACTACACAAAAATCTTTCTCAAATTTCCAAGTAAATTCTGGGGTGATAGTAAGTGGATATTACATGTTTCAGACCAGAACACAAGACATTTCCCAGTATTTTTCGATCTGGATCGTGCTGGGTTCTTTCCTGGCTCCAAGTCTTTGTATACTGCAGTAACTGGAGATGAAACTTTAAGAGTGGAAGCACAAGATGATTCCAAAACGATGGAGGAGCACATGGAAGTTCTGGGCATGTATGGACCCAGCATACCAAATGCCACAGGTACTAATATAACTGATTCTTGAGAGGAACAGTTCTATCATTTTCTCATTTTATCGGTGATATAAGTATAGAAATTTGTATAGTTACTATGATTTATTTATGGTCGCTCGTCTGGTTTATTTTTTCCATTCCATTGTGTAAGTGTTCGATTGGTTGATATTGATCGGTGGATCGACAGACCGACTTCCGATTGGCTGACTGGCAGAGCTAGCCATGACTGACTGACAGAAAAATTTTAGACTCGCTCAGTAATTGCCCACAGCCACTGACTAATCATGAATGACTGCGAGAAATCTGACCATATCTCCTCAACATATAAATGTTCAAGAGGGGGGGGGGGCTTTACTGTATAGAGTCTCCCATCCAATAAATTTCTGTAAAAATTTACCTAGTGATTTTACGTCCTTCTTTCATGTCCATTCCAGGGCTCAGTGTTAATCAAATGGTGGATAACACGACTTGTTCTATTATACTTTTCCACCGGATAGTGATTTACCCGATGGATTGCGCTATCCAGCATTTGAACAACAGGTTGCCTTAATCCAGGCCAGGTCTTAACCTAGTATTGTGTCTAAGCCTTACTAGATTTCTTTGAGTCAAATTAAATGGCGTCAACTTTTAAACTGTATTATACTTTTGTTTTGTCTTGTTTCCTCTATAAGATATTGTGGTTAGCAAGTGGTCGCAAAACCCATACGTCTTGGGTTGTTGAACAGACCCAGTCATTGGCACAGATTCCTCCGTGTTTGCCAACATGGCCGGCCGATTGAAAAACTTGTTCTTCGCTGGTGAGGCAACCCATGCTGATTGGTATGGCTTCATACAGGGAGGTTACTACAGTGGACTGGAGCGGGCGAATGACATTGCTAGTTGTATTCAAGGCGGGACGTGCCAACCTTATGAGCCCTTCACAGGCCTACCAGTAATTGTTAAAACACAGGACTGCAAGCCAAAGAGCGGAGAGCCCCAGATCTCAGTGCTAAATGTTATCAGTTTGTTCATTGGGCTCCCCTTTACTTGGTTTTTTAATTAATCTGTATTAACGTGACACTTTACGGCTGTCGAAACTGATACAACGTCGCAAAAACGTGTCTAAGCTCCTAAGAATAGCTGTGTTACGACGTTAATCAAAGTTTAAATAGTGGGAACTGCACAAAATTAAAAAATGCGAAACATATAAACAACCACAGGACACAAGACAAAAAAACAAAGGTATATAGATAACACAAAATTACTTAAGAAGGCCCGGATGGCAAGCTTCAAAAAAAATTAAACTGACGCACTCAATGTAGTTGTTGTTTAATAAAACTTGTTAGCCTTACAGTTTTTTCAGTGTTCATGTCTTTGTTATTTGTAATGTTTGACGTGATACTTGGGAGAAAGACTTGAACGCTGGCAAATAATTCCTTACGTTAAGTTCCATAAAGAAAAAGGACGCGGTATCGGCAATATCAACAAAATGGATTCAGTCTGGTAGGCTACAACGCCCAATTTTCATTAAGTAGATCGATTAAGACAGCGTAAAGTTTAACAAACATAGGTTGTCCTAAAGTGGAAAGTCTTGCTAGGTTATATTACGAAGTGTGAGTGTTTGTTGAAAACGACATTCGCCAAGAAATGGTTTTCTCCTTACCCATCAGGTTGTTGAAAAGTTGGCTGGCACAATCCACCGGATAAATCACTATCCAGTGGATAAGTATTACGAAAACCACCACTTATGTCCAGGTTTGCACATACAC